GGGGTTCGTTTCCAACAGGGTGCGAGGGAAGGTGCATACCCCTTGTGCCCTCACCCTTCCCCTTCCTTCCCACCCGAGCCCCCAGCAGCTCCCGGGCGGTGGGTCGGCCGCGGGGGACGGGCACCCCATGGTGCTGGGATGCCTCTGCCTGCCCGAGTCCCCGGGATTGCCCCGGATGGGATCTCCGCTCCAGCGGCTTGTTCCCTTCGAACATCCAAATCCCATCGGTGACAGTCGCAGAGGGGATGAGGAGGGCGTGCTGCCTTCCTCCGCTGGCCGGGGATGCTGCGGTGGCACCGTGGCCAAACAGATGTGAACAAACCCGAGTTCGATTTCCAAGACCGCCTGGGGAATATTGCTAACTAATTATAGAAAACAGAAGATGCGCTCCCCTCCTCTTGCATTTTTTGATAAACATTGTCTCCTCTCAACAGCTGAGTATTTAATTAGTGTTGATTGTTGTTCGCGTGTTCAATAACCACTCATCAGGAGGGGGGTGTCCGCTGGGGCAGCGTGGCCTGGAGCACAGAGGAGCGGAGGGTGTTCATAATTAAGGATGCAATTTATTTGAGTAAGTCATGTGTACAGCGCCCTGTGTTTTAGGTTAATTTTCAAGGTTAAAGGGTAAAAAAAAAAAAAAGAAATAGCTCGCAACTTCGGAGGATGAGGAGCAATGGTTGGCGACTCAACATTGAAAGCTGTGCAGGGGGTATATATATTTATATATATGTGTGTATACACACACATATATATATATACACGCACATATGTAATGTATCCAAGCCTTTGTGTGTGTGTACATATGTGGCTGCACACGTGGTCCCACCGCAGCCCTCCAGGCCCCCAGCGATTCCCACCCTCTTTAAAAAAAAACTACAGACTGAGCCTTTTTCCCAAGTTTTGGCTGGAAAACGCAGCTGTGTGGAGTTGGACCCTCCAGCTGCGGAAAGGTTCCTGAGGAAGCGGGTTTAACACAACAGAAAAAGCAGCTTTTTCCCGGTACTGCGGGGTGTGGGGAGGGCTGAGGCTCACCGTCAGTCTGGGTTTGTCACATCACGCCACGGTGTGCGGGAGGCGCGTTTTCAGCCTCGCGTTTGCCTGTGTTTACCTAAGGAATAGGGATGCGTGCCGGCGTGCCACGGCGGGCAGGGGTCCCACTTCGCCTTTCCAGGCACCGTACGGATCGCTCCCATTTAGAGGAGGGCTAAAACCTCAAACAGAACAACTGGGGTTTTAAAGGCACGTATGGATGCTGTCCGGAGATGGGATGAATTGGTACAAGTGGTCTCTCTTCTCTTTTCCTGGTGACCGTGCACCCGTGTCAGGCTTACACTGATGTCTGGAGCAGGATGATGATGGTTTGGGGGGGCGTAGGAGCATCCCTGCCAGCAGGGACACCAGGGTCCTTTCACGTGGTTTTAGGGACATCACCATCGTTGTGTGTGACCCTCTGCACCGGGCAGGACTCATCGGGGTCCCCCATGACGCTGGGAGAGCTTTGGCCCGGGAGGCCGAGCGGGGCAGCAGTCAAGCGCTGGGCACAGCCCCGGTCCCTGCACTGCC